GTCACGGAACGGATTAAGTTCGTATCCCGAGGTACCACTGTATTAAAAAAATCCCAATATAAAAATATATAAACAAATTATTCAGACAAGAAATATCTGGTGCTTAGAAAGGCATGTAGGCTTGAAAGCTTTTTAAAGTAAGCCCCAAACAATAACAATTTTAAGTTTTGCTGAAAGAATAATCTACCCAAAATTCTCCCCCATTTGGTTCATAGAGAGATGAGAAATCTGATCAATTTAGCGTGTTTCATTTTTGTTCCCTTAATACTATAACTGTAAATTTCATTTCAACCTGCAATGCTGTACTTGTATTCAGCTTCACTAAACCATGGATTTCCACAACATATTCTGAACCAGTTTTCTACATGCTGACTGCTGTGAGGATACCGACCCTATGCTTTTGTTGGAAAGGACTTTTGATCCCCTCTGTACCAGAACAACTAGCTAAGCTGTGAGAGATGCTTCAGATGCTTTAAGATAACTCTGTATCTTAAAAGTACATCTGACAAAAAATTAACTCAATTTAGAAACTATTGCTATTTTGTATATGGCTTTGTATCACATCCAAAATCTGGGTTTCTCTTTATGTAAAGCCTTAATATTTAAATTTTATAGGGTTTCCTAAACCCTATACTGTGCCAACTACTGTTTCTAACATTCTATTTAGAGCTCAATACTGATTTTTAGTTTTTTAAAAGATATAATATACTCAGGTATTTACAATCAATCAATGAAATACTGAACAGCCTTAATTTCTATTACTCTTATTAATTCCCTGTTTATTCATTTGTGCCCTACTTTTTTACCCCCCTTGTGTTCCCCCCCCCTTTTTAGTTTATTTATTCTTCTTGTAAAATGTGCGGTCTCTCGCTGTCCCGCAATTGTGCGCAAATTAAGCCTGTCCTGGAGAAAAAAGGGTTCCGGCGGCAGCCAAAAACGGGCTGAGCTCAAAATATTACGGTTTCCCCTTCCATAATTCTGGCATTACGGAGAGGGAGCTCTGCGTAGCAGACAAAACACATCTACGTTTTGCTTGAAGGTGCAATAGTTCCAGAGCATGCTTGTGCCTTTCATCATAAAGATCTTTACTCCGTCTTGCAACCACTCGAAGGATCAGGCGGGGGTTCTGCAGGGAGCCGCTTACACTGGCGAATCCGCGACCTTCTCCTGCTCTCCTTTCCTCTTTTGTGAGGCTTTTCCCGCACCCGCTCCCCCCTCCGCCGCTCGAGTTCTAGTTTAGACGCTTTCTGATTGGGCACAAAAAAAAGGGGAAAAAAAAAGGCGCCTCCTCGTTCGGAGAGAGCTGCTGGGGAGGGGCCAGAAGAAGCGGCTGAAGCCAGATGTCCAAACGCACGTTTCGAACACGAGTTAGCTGGCAAAAGAGCGGCCAGCTGGGAAGCGAGACTGCGATTCCTTCCCCTCGCTGCGCTCCGAAGACCACGGCCGGGCGGAGGCGAGCAGGCGAGGCGAGAAGCGTGGCCGCGGTGAGTGGAAGCGAGCAGTGCCGAGACCGACCGCGCGTTAAGCTGTCTCAGTTGAAGCTACCCCCTTTTTGGGGGGGAATGTCTCTCCCCGCCCCTGAGGCGGTGTTTACAGGTGACTGTGCTCGCGGGGACAGTTTCGAGAAGAAAAGCGCAAGTGCGAGTGGCCCGGAAGCGTCCGCGGGTAGAGTGCCAGACGGCGCAAACGGCTTCTGGACCGCACGAGCGGTGCGGTGGGGGAAGGGAGAAATTGCTCGCGCCGACTCGCGCGGAAGCTGCCATCCTAGCTTTGCTCGCTCTTTGCAGCCTAACTTGGATAATTAGCGGTGTCTTTTCCGTTTCCAGCGCCGGGTGTCGTCTCTCACCTTCTTCCTCGCTACTAGTTTAAGGATTGGCTTCGCAGGAATACCTTTTGTGGTACCCTCCCCTGGGCATCATCCACCCGAGGCAGGTGGTTGGGGGGGGGAATGGAAGGGTACGGTGGGAAGCTGCCGCATTTGCCTCTAAATCCCTCAGGCGTTTTCTTCGGCGTCTTCTTTCTTGCCCCTCCAGCCGAGCGCGCAGGCATTCCTCAGCTTCCACGAAGTATTCGCAGTGGCTTCTTGGAGTTGCAGTTACAGGTGGCGGCGTAGCTACAGCCGCCCCCCTCCTGTCTCGGCTCTCGGAAAGCGCTGTCGCGATTCGCTTTCGCCGCATCCGCGCGCACCTTCCGCGAGCCGAGCTCGGTCGAAAGCTGCCGCTGCTGCAAAATCCCGGAGCGCTCCGCCCTCCCGTCGCTTCTCCTCTCCCCGCCTCTTGCTCTCCCTCTTTCCCACGCTCCGTCCCGCGGAACGCGCGGCCGAGGGGAAACGGCCGGGAACGAGGCTTCAAGGTCAGGGCTTCCAGGAGCCGCATCGGGGCAGGTTCGTGGGAACAGGCGAGCAGAGCCTCGTCTAACCCTTCTGCATTTGATGGGAAGATTGCAACCGAGGCTGCACCCCCCAGCCCCCTCTGGCGTTCCTTGAAGCTCGACGGTTGCCAAGTTTTTGACCCTGGTATCTGCGCCTCCAAAAGTGGCTTCCTTCGCTGAAGGAAGAAAAGGACTTTGCTGCTCCCCTCTCCCCCCCCCCCCC